CTACCCGCTAGTCATTGGCTTGTCTGTAACTTCAAGAGTATCACTCGGGTTTCGATGAAATTTTCATGTGAGGCCAAGGACGACACAGCTTTATAATTTTTTGAAATCGGTTCAGTGGCGGTGGAGCTAGGGGCAAAATACGAAAAACATAAAAGTCACTCAAATTTCATTTTTGACGTTTCAGAAGCTTCTTATAATTTTCAGTAAAAAATTCTAGGGGTTGGAAGTAGGGAGTTGGGGGTTGTAGGGCTTAGGGGGTTGTAAAAGTTTACTCTTTTTCGACAATAAAATAAGATATATTGTTAGGAATATTCTGATCTCACTAGTAACAGGAAATTTGCCTGACGAACAACGCGTTATTGAGCCGACTGCGTGGAAGATTAAATCCATATATTTTTAATTGAGTATTATTCGGGTGTTAAGAATAGCTATGACTTCACTGTTCTGGGAACCATAGTGGAGTTGATTGCTGAACCCAAAATAGTCGATAGGATTGAAATAGAAATGTTTGCTTTCCTTCTGTGTAACCACGTCCAACCGTAGACAGCGCTGTTTCATGTTCATTAGCAATTCATTGGCGCGGTATAGGTCTGGTAGTTCTGGAGACAGATGAATGAAAAGCAAACAAGTGCGTATGATCGTTTGAAAAACTCAAAGTAGCTTGCGGACGTACCGGCTCTTAACTGCTCGACTCGTATAGCAGCCGGGATATCAAGCATTCACAGAGCAGGCCAACAATGGCTTTCCATGAATATATGCAGGAATAGGCAAGATTGATATGTTTGCTTTTCGACCAACCGCAGACAGAGCCGTTTCGTTCTCAGATTTATCGCCTACCTCCGCATACTATTTTGAGTTTTTTCAAACGACCGCACACCTCCGCATACTATTTTGATTATTTTCAAACGACCGTACCCACTTGTTTGTTTTCGGTTCATTTTCCTGCAGCGCTGACTGCATATATGCATAGTACCCCATTGTTGGTCTGCTCTGTGGGTCCACCGTTTTGGTGGTCATCAGGAAGATTGACTCTGTATCTCTCACGCATTCTTATACAATCATATACTGAATTTTATGGAGCCGCTAGAAATTGGTAGTTGTTTGTGGAGAACGGTTGTGAATGTTGAGTTTTTGATATTAGTGAAAGACGTTCTGAAATTACGGAACTGTTATCACACAAGTTGCCCACAGATCCGCCGTTGAAACAGAAATTTGATAGATTTATGTGATATAGTTTGAAACGCAGAAGTTTACGATACATCGTACCTAAGTGAACCTAACTGGTCAAGTTTCACTTTCGAATTCACAAATCTGAACGAAGACGTGGGAAGTACATAGAGTCAGTTTACTTGACGCCATTTCTTAGTTACTGTCTTCAATCATTGCTTTGCAGCTGTGATATGAGTATAATCAAAGATATCCATAACTCAGAAGCACTCACAAATGAAGTTTCAGAATACGCGTCTATAGGTTTCTATTGTAGGCATCAGAATGATCACACCAAATTGATTAATTTGTAGAAAAGTGCTATTTGGATTATCCATGCTGGGGTCCACTTATAACATACCAAGGATTTTAAGACCTGTTTAGCGGGAGTCGCAGACTTTGGAGGTTCATTGGAGTAAGAAATATGTGTAGTATCGTAATTTGTCATTCATGCTAAGAACAATGCAAATGTATTGTATAACAATTTCTACAAGACGTGTGTAAGCGATATTGTCACATTAACGTGAATGAAAATGAAATTGAGGCAAGTGAAAAGTACGAATTGATAACATTTTCGCAAAACCACCACCACACCACCATTGTGTGACACACCAACAACTTTGCTGGATATAGCACTGACATATTTTATGTAGGTTGTGGTATAATATAGCTGATTCAATTTCATGGATTGCCCATTTGCGTTGCGTAATTGCCATTTGCATTCACTAATCAATAGCGATATTTCCGCAAACGTATCAACTACTTCACAGAACTACTATTATGAGTAAGGTCTGAAATTTGATCATGTAGTTTTCATTTGATCCTTTCTAAAAAGACCTTTGCGTGTCGGAAAATGTTTATCATGATCTTAACTCCTTCTTAGTGAAGAATAATTATATCGAGAACATAACTTTTCAGCATTAGTTTGTTGTTCTACCTTAGACCAAGCCTAGACCATGCTGAGGCGTTACCAAATAGCATGAAACAGGTGTCCACGATCGGACGAACGAGATCAATATTACTAGTTTGTTTAATGGCGAGTTTACCGTATTCATTGTAGCACCAGAATCGGCGGCATTTAGCGGTCACTGTGGTGACTCGACTGTTAAATGCCAACTGGGATACAGTTCTAACTGGCAGCTTGCTGTATTCACTCTCGCAGAGGTCGATTCTGGTAATAGATGGCTCTTTGTGCTGTCTCATTTTGATGGACGTTATATCTTGGATGGAGGATAGTTGCTCAGCTTTCGTTCGCTGTGCTACAAGAGACCAAGCTTAGACCAAGGTGAGGAGTTGCCAAATAGCACGAAAGAGCTATCCGTGATTGGCCGTCTATGGTCGGACGAGGGAAAGCTATATTACTGATATTTGTTTCGTACCCATTTATTATCATATGAAGTTTGCATCCAATTTGGATGTTTTTTTTTGATACCTTACATTTTGATGGCTGAAGCTGTATCATCAAAAGTTCTGGATCAACAAACGCACTTGTCACCGTAGCCGATTGTCCAAAGTTGTATCTTTAACCTTCCGAACTTGCAACCGTTCACATACAATGAATACGAAAACCAATCAAAGAAACTCTAGATAAGACTTATATCGAAGTGACGATTGCTAAAAAGCATGAAACAACGTTAAAAATTAGACAGATTTTATTCAACATATTATGAATATTTCATGGTACGATTCATAGACCCATCCGATTATTTGCAAAGTATTAACAAGACATTAATCAAGTATTCTTGGCATTGGAATGGCTCCATCGACTGACTTAATCCTCCTACTATAAAAAACACGTCAGGTTGAAACAAAACTTCCAGTTTCTATGCGGGTTGCGGAGTAAGAGCCAAGGTCAAGTTAAAGTTTTTCCCACGCGCAGCGGCTTTCCCGGATAACATCAATTTATATCGCCGGATCTGCCGAATAAATTTCAGGCTTTACTGGCAATTACTTCTACGATTCGGGAAATGCCAAGTGGTTAATACTGCGTTTGAGACAGTAGCTACTGTTAGTCCAGGAACCCATCTACGCACCACAGAAATTCATTATACTTTTTTACATCAACCACCATACTAAGTAATATGAACATAAGAACAATAAAATTAGACCTGTTTTTTTAATAATGAGTCTTTGTAAAAGTAAGACATATTCGGTACTGTCAGTATGACGGTAGGCTATATCGCAATGTTGTCAAATCTGTGGGTACTGTGAACTAGTTGTATCAGTCTGTTTGAGTCACATAATCCCTTTAATTCCTTTGTTATACATGTTCGTAACTAACTTTTTTCTAAGAGGTATCGAATGGAATCCGTCATGAACTGATGACCGTGTTGCGTAGGAAATGCAAAGTCAACCTATTACAATATCTGGCAATACTAGGTTTCTTGTTCTTCAATTAAACAGTTACCTGCCTCAGGCTGGACAATCATATAAATTAGTTGAGAAATACGCTCAGTCAGGTATTTTATTCTACAAGAATTATTGCTAATTTGGTACACAGGGTGTTAGGGAAATAATATTCGTAACTTTAAGAGGTGATCCCTTGCATTATTTTATGCAAAAAAGTTCATTATAACTTATGTCCGAAAATCAATCGTTTTCGAGGAAAGTGAGTCGTAAATAATTCAATTTTCTCAAACATTTGGCAACGATACAACGCAACCGCACGACGACCGCAACTGATTCATCGAATTGTTTAAGTTTGTATGATTTTTTGTTGAAAATATGGCTTGAATTATTGAATACTTTTACGCAATTTTTTGTGGCTAATATTATTTATTTAACAAGGCTTTCAGTACAGTACATTTACTTAAAAAAATGACAGAACTTACCGGCACGTGGCGATACACACCATCAATTCCCACGATTATCAGTCACTTATTTGAAACGATGCGATGCACGAAAAAAGAAAAAAAACAACATCCGTAAATCACATAAAGTTACAGTTAAATGTATTAGTAATGACAACAACACGCGATGATATATGCAGTGCAGGCAGAGTACGACGTTGCCAGTTGTGTGAGGGATTTTGTTTGTCTGATTTTCTCCGGAAAATTGTATTTAATCAGCAATAAAATTATTTTGTTAGAGACGGTTAATTAATAAATAGATGTATACGTATTGATACATTTTACGCTATTAGGCATATGAATTTTTTGCTCCGAAACGGTTGATTTTCATATGTTATAATGAACTTTTTTGCTCAGAATAATGCCAGGAATCACTTCTTAAAGTTACAAATATTATTTCCCTAACACCCTGTATAGAAAAAGCTTGAGTTGGAATTTCTATACTGAGGTATTGCATTATGTTATTCAGAAATTGTAGTGTCTGATGAAATATTTGTAATACGGGAGAGATATTTGATTAATGTTTTGAGAGTAAAATTAAATGAAACATGTCGATGCTAGTTCAGGCAACTAAGTGTTCTAATTGGAGCTTACATTCAAGGGCGCCTTATATATGTATTTAAAAATAAGCTACTATTCACAGTTCAGCCTACAAATGAGAATCCCAGAAATTTTAGCTAAATTTATCCCAAGCTTTATTTGTTTACAAGTGTGTAAAACTTTTTGATCACTTACACCATCAGTGCATTAACAACAACTACATCAAATACTACTGAAATTAGAACCATATGAAATCGACGACCTTTTCAATACTTTTCATGGTTTTATTGATTTTTTTACTATTGCAGCAGCTGTATGACATTTGTATTTTCAAATATATCTCATATTGCACTTTTTGTACACTACGTGTCTACGTGCCGAAATAGTTAAATCAGATTGACTTGCCTAATATTCGAAAGAGCATCCTAAGCTTGGCACTAGACCAATGGCCATGAGTCCTATGGGCTCGACCTTCTAACGCTGGCAGTCCTTTGGTTTTGGCTTTGTGGCGGCAAAGAGATATTAGGCATCTGTAACAAAGGAAATGTATAAATCTATCCAGATTCTTTATGAATAGAATCCTCATCCATTTTTGATAATATACTGGTATCGTCTAACTGTTGTTATCAGTGTATAACAGGTGCGACATTTGTGGTATCAGCAAACGCCGTTACCTTAGTGTCCAGCCGTGGCGATGCAGTGGTCGAGATGACGGCGACAGCGCATGAAATGAAACTCACCACAACTTTCTCAAATTCAAGGATATCGCAAAAAATTTTTAAGATTTATAAAAGATACGTTTTTGATTTAGTAGTATTTGCGACAGCAGGAAACTTCCTAATTGATTTGTATGCTGGCTTATGGAATGGCGCAGAGGTGAACCTTTATTGAACCACCAATGGAGACAAAAATATTCCTAGAAATTGCAAAAACTCGCAAATCGTCATGCCGAAAAAACCGACTAATACCGCCAATTTGGCGCAAAATCGCCAAACCTAGCAATCCTGTACTAACCTAGGTTCTGTCGGACTATGCGGATCATCAGGACTATCCGGCACCGAGACACAACAATTCCATCGTTTCTTCTTCGGTTGAGGTTTGGCAGTCTTGGTCTTGAGTGTTTCCGGGGCCACAGCGTTTCCGCCAATCACAGCGCACAATTGACAGTCTTGCGGGGTACTGGGGGGTGTTGGGGTTGGTTCTGCACCCTCCTTACCACCGCACCCAGAGAATGTCTCCTCTAAGACGGCGCAAGTGAAGAATGTAGTCCGGGTGCGTTCCTGGAATAAATAAATCAAGGAATAAATATATTGGCATCAAGAAGGTTGACTATACACTTTCCATCTAACGCTGTCATCAGTTCATATAGGAATAAGTTAGACACATGATTTCTTAAAAAAAAAGTTGATTATGAACACGTATGACAAAAATTAAATGGATCAAGTCAGTCAAACAAAACCAGAAAATCAGTCCATAGTCCAATCCTATTGACGTTGCGATCTAGAAACTTTTCACTTGTCCTACCGAAAGTGTCAGTGCTAGCCTACGGTTTTAAGCCTTCGGCTACCACAGAGATATTACGCAAAAAACTGATAAATGTCATTAAAAATCCGTATCTATAATGTCAACTTGTGTACTACTTAGTCGCTAGCCTATTCCGCTGTGAGCGCCACCTATGGACGAATTACTCAACCCCCGTGTTGCGTAAAATACTGCAATTCACATTTCGCTAGCATGAGGGATGCTTGCTGCCGAGATAGTATACGGAGTATACTTGTGAATAAGACGTGACGAAGAAAATATGGTCGAGTATTAATATCGCATCTGGATGCTTGTGTGAATTCGTCTGCATGTCTATAGCATCAGTGATATTTGATTATTGATGCCTAAGTGGAAAAATTATTACTGACTATGTAGCCCATGCTGTATATCCATTAGCTCTTAGATGGAAAGAGTTCGATTGGTGTTAGTTTATTAGTTTATCGAAAGAAGTTGAGAGCATCGGGAGACAGACAAATAAGGTCAAACATGCAGTTTTTGCAACCAAAACTCTTGTAAAAAGAAGAATAATCCGCTTTGGATATATATATATATATCCGAGAGTGTTGCTTAATAAAGTCAATTAATTTCTAGCTTCTCATAGACCTCAAGTAAGTGTATTTGAGACAAGTACCCAATGGAATCATTAACAAGGCAGATTAGTACACTTATACGTATCATAACTGTGTACTGCAGTGCTTCCTTCCGGCTATAGTATAAAACTTACAGCCTAGGCTGTAGATGTTGAACGCTGATGAAGATTTTACATCACATCAAAGTCAGATCATATACCTGACGTGCCATGACGTTTAGACAACACGCACAGCTACTACAAGGAAACATGAAGTAAATGACAGCTAGTTCCAAGGTGATACTTTTCGGAATACCCGTATATTGTCATATAATATATATACCTATATAATACCACTTCTTAAGTTACGTAATACAGGTGCCATTCTACTGTACAAGGTTTAATTTCTACCGATTATAACTATGCAGCCCTACTACTCTTTACTATGAAATGGAGATCTGGGAACTGGACCTCCTCCTCCTGCTCTTCAATGGAGAAGTTTCGTGATATTCAGAATTGCAAAAGTAATGACATACCAGCAAAATATAGACTAAATTTAATCAGCCAGTGAAAAAATTATTGAAATCGGCCAATAAATGACAGAGAAATTGATAATTAAATGTGGCGCATTATAGCGCGAAATCATAGCTGCCGTTCGTTCGCGTCTGATGTCACACTTCTCTAGTGCCCAGCGTCTCGTCGCGTAGGTGCTAGGTGCGTTTAGTCATTAGTCTAAAGACAATTCATAAGACACACCTGTGCGCTCGGGCACGTGGTTTCCAGTTGATAACTATTGAGTACTGCGTGAGTTCATACCATTATGGACGCCGCATGTGAAGGTACGTAGAAAAAATGTTTATTAGGGGTTGTAATTGTTGTGCTCGTACATTTTGGAACGGTGCAGTATTTATAACAACCTTTTTTCTAATTTCGCTCATAACCGATCTTATATGCAGTCAACTAATTAAACAAATTGGGGCGGAAGATGTTTAGCCTACCATGTGTCCCGCTGTATGTGTGCCTATGCATGTGTTTAGGAGATTTGAGTCGGCTCGGGCCCAGGAATCGGCCGCGAACGTTGCAACTGGATACTGAAGTCTGAAGTGTGACGTGACACGTAACGTACAGACGGAATAAAAATATTCTCGCGGGGTGCAACTTTGATGGGCTGTAACTTTTTTGTTTTTCGAGATAAATTAATAATTTTTTCACCATCTTGTTTGATTTTTCCTAAACCTTCATTTGAGATAATAACAGAACAATGGTAAACTTGTCCATTGTCAGAAACAAAATTAACACTATACTAACTCCGCGTAGGGCCCCTAAATGATAATTAGCTATCTGCCAACTTATAGGTTTTGTGAATAACATCTGTTGCCACAAAAAATCACTCACAAAAGTGGTATTCATAACTTTATGAAAACAGAAGTTATTCGTAAAACCTGTAAGTTGGCTGATTAACTTTTAGGGGCTTTGCGCGAGAGGTTACGCTACAAGATTCAGTTTAGTGTCAAGAGAGAATTAAAGTTTAAAATTAAAATTTTTCATAATCTTTTGTTTTGGTTTTTTGTACGCTACAGATTCATTGTGTACTTGCTAAAAGCTATTTTCTTTAGATTAGTTCATTTGCAAACGAAATACAAAACGCTTCAAACAAATGTTTGCCAGATTTACACCGGCACGGGTATCATGTAAAAAACCTATAAAACGTCAAAAGATGTCAACTTGCAAACTACAGTATATTCAGATAAGAGATAGACCGGATGTAAACAAAAGGTTCGGGTGATTTTCACGCTAACGCCGCCGTCTCGACGTAAAACAGGAGCCCTCATTGGTCAATTCGAAATTAAATGCCTATGCCGAGCGGCAGAGCAGTCGTATCAAGGCAGAGTCACATTCAGGTTCAGACGTGTTACGTATGTCGCGTGCATCATTGCAATTTGATATTTCTTTGGACGTTTTCGTTTGTTATCTTATTAAGTTGTTGAGTTTGTCGTTGTTATTGTTATACCTTGTTATTGATTGTTATTGTTATCAACTGCTTGCGCAAAATGCCCAGTAGTACAGATACTGCCGATGAAGTTGTAAACTCATGTAGTCCACCTAGGAAACGCTCTAAAAAAAGACACCTGAGTGCAGAAGTGAAAGAGGTCATTTTGAATATATATAAGATCGAGCGCGAGGAGAACGAGGCATCAACCATCAAAGAAATTATTGTGAAGGTTTCTCACAAAGATGTGGTGTGTCGCGCATCAGTGTTTAATGTGTTAAGACAATACAAAAAAAATCACACCTTTTCTGAGCCAATGACCAGTAAACATCGCAAAAGTATTGTTAAATCATTGGATGAAGCTGATAAGCATGCGATTAGGAGGAAAGTGCATGAATTCTTCTTTAGGAATGAAATACCTACTATAGATAAAGTACTGCAGGAGGTAAATGGAGATACAACGTTGCCAAATTTCAAACGATCAACTTTCCATGCGTTACTGAAGCATTTAAATTTCAAATGGAAAAAACGGGGTCGTAATAGTTTACTACTGGATAGAGAAGAAATTGTGCTATGGAGGAGGGATTATTTAACAAAAATTGGGAAATATAGAAATCAAAACAGGAAGATTTATTACCTTGATGAAACGTGGGTAAACGCAGGACACACTACAAGTAAAGTATGGGTTGATGATTCTGTAACTTCATCCAGGAGGGCCTTTCTAGATGGACTGTCCACCGGATTAAAAAATCCAGCAGGTAAATACGAGTAATAGACAACAATCGGATGTTTTTCAAACCTTGGGAACAAGGTTCTAAACATTAATTCCAGGGGGCAGATAAAACATATTACAAGTAACAAAACTTTTATAACTTTCGATAAAATGCGTGGATGTTTTATTGTCATTTTCATTTGTTAGAACTTTTTTAAGCCATGTTTTTATGTGTTTTCGATATTTCAATAATTTTTTAATATAATCTTAAAATATGTCGAATATTATAAACTTAAAAAAAGTTACTAAGTTTTATATTGTGTACCGTTCCTAATATTTCTAATCATTTTAATTCATACTTTAAGCTTTATAAAGTTATAATTTGTTAATATTAATATTTGCGCGTATTTCAGGTTCCTGATCATTCATTTTTTAAAGGTTTATAACTTTAAATTAAATTGTGAAGCGCTGAGTAATCATACGACGTTCAATATTCTTTCTTTCAATATGACTAAATAATCCCAATTATAGCAATCTGATACTCATGTCTCAATGTTTTTTCGTTGAATGTGATGAAAACATTTGAAAAAGGTTCGCTTATTGAAATAAATCTACACACCAGTTAGTACTTCGATTTCCAGGTAAAGGGAAAAGGCTCATTATCTGCCATATTGGCAGTGAGGATGGATTTGTTGTTGACGGTCTGTGGTGCTTTGAGTCTAAGAAAACTGGAGATTACCACGAGGAAATGAATGGCGAATCGTTTGAACAGTGGTTTTCAAAAATTTTACCGAACTTAGAGGAAAACGCAGTAATTGTGTTGGATAATGCGCCTTATCATTCTCGAAGAATGGAGAAGGTCCCAACAACGGCTTCAAGGAAAGTTGATGTTCAAAATTGGCTCCGCTCGAAAAATATCAACTTTGAAGAAGCAATGCTGAAAGTACAATTATTAAGAATTGTCAAGGATCACAAGGCGGAATATAAAAAATACGCCATTGACGAAATGGCAGCAAGTCAAAATAAAACTGTGCTCCGTTTACCTTCATACCATTGCGAGCTCAATCCCATTGAGCTCATATGGGCAGAGGTTAAAAATTATATAGCTAAGCATAATACAACTTTTAAATTTTGTGACCTTAAAGGACTTTTCAAAGAAGCACTAGAATTAATAACAGCGCAAGAATGGGAAAACTGTATTAAGCACGTGAAAGACAAAGTTGAAAAGAGAATGTGGGAACTGGACAATATTTTAGAGGAACAAGTCGAGCCATTCATTATTGACGTTGGTGCTTCAGGCAGTAGCGATGATGAAAGCTCATCAAGCTCATCTTTCCAATAAAAGATGTCGTCCATCAAATTCGGTAAGTTATAAGTAATTATAAAGCTACTGTATTTTTTAATTAATTATTGACATTTTGGCAAAACCTATTCAAGAATCTACTTTCTGACAATGTTCAACCATGCA